AGAAGATTTTGCAACTGTTGTAAACTGCTGGTTGCCAAGTGCCCAAATTTTGATCACGTGGCTGTAGGGACACTGTGATGGTCATAAGTGCAAGGACCAGTTGTCATTTTTTTCAGCGGTCATAACTTTGGTTGTTAAATAAATGGTTGTAAGTAAAGGACTACCTGGTCACAGACCACTAATTTACCAGAGGACAAATTAACCCTATTTCCTACAAAGCAGTCAATCATCTGGGGGGGATATTGGCAAGGTTCAAAGGCAAGACTGCAAATAAATATATTAAAGTTTGATGCTTTGTTTTACAGCATGCCAGCTTCCTATTTAATCTTTTTATTAAAAGAGCCTTCCAAGAAGTTGAATGGGGCAAGGAGCTTGGTGGATCTCAAATGAGGTATCTAGAAATTCTGTTGCCCACCAACGCCACATTACCCAACCCTAGCTCAGCATTATGCACAAATGCAATGAGTTGGTATAAACATCTTAGTTTATAGGGTGCTTTAGTGGACTTTGAGTTCATCTCAATACAGTATAATGCCTAGATTATGAAACATTATCCTGTAAGAGAGGAGTTAAACCTTTAATGCAGGCGTTGTGCAGCTTCTCTGTGTATCAGTGAGTCAGCTTTAATGTTCATAGATCCTCAAAATTATTATTAAAAAAAATAATCTCAAGAGATTTTAGTCATTTCCTTTGTATTTTGGGGCACTGTGACATTATGTGATGGCAAGGAAAAAAGTTGCTAATCAGTGCTAAAAAGTGTTCCAAATATGCTGTAGAAGTTAGCAACTGAGCTAACAAGGCCTCTCTCTCTCTCTCAGAATGCTGTTCTTTTAGGCCCTTTAAGGATAGGAAAACAAAGTGCCATGTAACAATTTGACTTTCATTTCCATAACCTCTTGGGAATGGAAGAGGTGCCTTGGCAAGATTTGGATCTTGGCAGGGATAAGAGACCATGTCTTTCATCTTCATTTCACTTCCTCCCTTAGGCCTTGTTGACAAAGAGGCTTAATCTGCAAGCCCTATTTTTATGGCTCCTCTGATTCATGAATGTTGGCTTCCCCTGTATTGAGTACATTTGTTCTTTCCCCTTGACCAGGTGGTAAGTCTTCTCAATCTCCAGAAGACAGTTAAATACTGAGATAGGAATATTTGCCATATTTATCTTGGCTATTCATCAAGATCCTTACGTAAATAATAACTCAGACAACTAAATCAAGATACTCAATCAGATGATCAGATAGATATTTATTACAGCAACATCTACTTTGTTGAGTGAGAAAGAGGCTTTTTATTGGACAAACATTTTATACTTTAAAAATTTATATATAATATACAGACAGTCAGATTTGAAGAGTGCGGCAATGCCACTGTGAACTGAGGAGAGAGCTGCAAGAATCACACTCAGCCCCTGCTTGCAGAAGACAGTGTGAAAACATTCCTGAGAAGGACCAAAAATAACCATTTCAATTTCAGATGTCTTCTTGCTGTTTAGCAAAAGAAGCTACATGGTAATGGCATTCTAATTTGGCTTGCTGGATGAAGACAAGGGTCTATGATAACCTTTAACTTTGGTTCCTTCAATACAACCACTAGGTTTAAGTTATACCTAGGGATTGGATATCTCTCTTGCATTATGGCCAAAAACTCTGTCTCCACCATCTCCATCCTCTATCTCTCTTGACTTCAGTTTTGGGTTCTAATACAAATGAAAAGCCAGCTTTTCTGGGAAAGGGAGAAGGGGACCTTTAACGGGTAAGGTGGCTACCATGCTAACGTAACCTTAGCTATTCTTGCTGAAAATCACACTAGGAGAGCTTGCTAATGTGCTAATGCAGAAATGAGTGAGGAAAGAGAAGATAAATGATTGTGTATAAGACTGAATTAACAATTACCTCAGGAAAGTACTAAAAGTTCAAAATCTTGGAGAAAATAAATAGGCAAATACATCTCTGCCCACCAGTAAATTTCAGAATCGTGGTGAAGACAGACAGGATTCAGGAAGGGCAAAACTGATGCTGAAGATTGTCATTATTTAGTTCATGTCAATATTTCACAGCACAGTGACATGATTGAAGAAAAGGAAACTACAGCCTTCAGCTACAGTCAATCTGAATTGCTTGAGAAAATATGGGGAAAGTAGTGGGGGAAAAAAGTTGAACAATGATCAATATCCCAAAATGCCTTTTCCACATCTTCTCCTCTGGAGCATACAGAGGATGGTGGAAGAAAATACAGACACTCTGAAAGCAAAATACTGAGGAGAGAAGCACGCATCCCAATTTGCCACCTCTGGTCAAGTATTTCGAATAAAACATTTACAAGAGAGCAGAGCAGGATAATCTGGGCCACAAGCTAAAGTAGAAGTACAAAAGTTAAACTGAACGTTCAGAGATAATTCCAAGGAAATAATACAAGATATGACCATAAGACCGCCCCCCCCCCAGTGTCAAGTAGACTGCCAATAGCTTTTTAAAAATTCTGTATTAATATTGTCCAAAGTAAATGACTTCCAAATGGTTGGTCCATGTGTTACTAGATATATTTGCAGAATACAGGGGATTAATGTGCTCTCTCTCTCTCTGAGATCCGCTCCTATACAGTTTTGGAAAACAAAACCCAAGTTCAGATTTCAAAAGGTGTTTAGATGTAATCTTCTTGATTTTTAGTTGAGGATACATGGTAACAATATCCTAGTTTGGTTCATTGTATCAAGACAAGCTTTGTGCTGTCCTATATTTCATCCTCCCCAAAGATACCCCAAAAGTGTGAGGTACAAAACTGTCAATCCCAAAACGACAAGCTGTTCAGCTGCCCCTCAAAATCGTGGAACAGGATCCTCCTCAACAGCCATTTTTTCCCCTCAACAGTTCAAATTATTATGGGAGTAAAACAGGGAGGAGCCGGGGGAGCAGGAGTTATCCTATCATCCCACACAGATATCACAAAAGCATAATGGGAAGGTGAAGTGGTCACATCAAAGAAGATATGCTCAACTGAAGTGACTAATCTGAGGCAAAGCCCTGATCCCTTCATCATGAAGGTTGGGAGCTGATCCCTCTGGAAGACTGAGGGGAGTTCCTTCCCACAACCTTGAAATCCTACTTCCTCTTTGCCCGTTCAGCAGCATCCAAGGCAGCCATATTACACGAGGCAGAGACCAAGTGAATTAAGCTGATGAAACTCTTGGTGATGGCAATGGGGGTAGAAACCCACAGAATTAGGCGGTAGAGTCCGACGTACCCTGACAGGACTGGAAAGTAAAAGAACAAAAATGAGTGGGGTGGAAAAATCCAACATGCTCTTCAGTCCCAAAGCCTTCCCTCCCCTCAACCCCCTTAGCTGTCTGTACTCACTTTCTGGTCCTTCACCAAAACACAGCAAGTACAACATGCAGTAGAAGAGCTCATTACCAGCACACATAATGAAGAGAACAGGCTGAAGAAAGAGGAAGAAGAAACTACATCAGACCAGACAAGGCAAGAAATGGCAGCCAACAGAAGCAAGTTTAAATCAGACAGTTATTTATAAGGGCATCAACTGCGATTGTATGACAAATCATGGTGATTTGATGGAAACATCTTTCTATATAAAAATCTATATTTAAAAAAAAACATAATTTATTGCATGTGACTGATAAAAATAATATACAAGAGTGTAACAAAATTCACAAAAAGGGCAAGTCAGATAACCCTCTCAAGAAAGAGACAGCTTGGGCTGCCATCTGATCAACATGGAAGAAGAGAAGCAAATGGATCAGTAAGGGATCCTACAACACTGGCGCCTTCCCAAACAAAGGTCTGGCCTCATTTCAAATGGGGAGGAGGCATCATCCAAGAATGATCTTTACAGAAAGGTTTATATGGGTTTTAAGCCACCTTGACTCTTTAGAACTTTGATAGTCAAAGTCAACACTTTAAATTAGCCTAACTAGAAGCCTACTAAGTTGCCATTTTTCCTCCAATTTGAAGGAAATGCTTCATGAAAATAGACATGCTAGAACAGGCACTGACATGGCTGAAAATGCCTCTTCCCACAGCCGGCCTTGGGCATTGGGGGGAATGGGGTGGGGTAGGCCCAATGGCAAAATGTGTCACATTGCAAACTCTACCCATTCTGTACTTGTATCATGTCACTTGCAATTATATAACAGTTGGAGCTTGCATTGTGATGTCACAATGCGCATTTTGTCATTCTGGCGAAATCTGAGTTTACTGTGGATGTCCATGAAGACAGCTCTACCTGTAGGGGCCAATGGGACCGGGAAAACAACATTTACTGAACACGACTGTATTATTCTTCATTAAAAATGAAAAATCACCCCAATGGTGCCTTCTCTCCAAAGCATTTGGAATTAAAAGGGGGAAACTAAGTGAAAGAGGACTTCATAATCAAATTGGTGAGAAAATGGCTGGAATAAGATTTTGTTTTTGAGAAAACAGAAAGAGGCGCTATCTAAGATTAGGACAGAGTTAGGAATGCAGTGATGTGAAGACTCCAAAGAGACAGCTCTTGTGCAAGTATCACTCACCCGGGAGTTGTAATACACTCTCAAGATCCGGTTTCCTGTTAAGTCAATGCTCTTATGGCTTTCACCACCTTTCACCACAGTGCTAATGGAGGCAGGGGAAGAAAATTAAAGTGGGAATTAAGAATTAAGAGTATTCAGCTCCACCTTGACTCCCCTCCCCTTGTTTCTTTCTCTCACATTGCTGTATAACTTTTCCATATTAAATCTTCCCAGAAAGACTCTCTCTGCTCCACAGGAAGCATGTTCTAATTTTCACATCATGCTTCTCTGGGTAGTGTATGCTTTAAAAAAAAAAAAACAGTCTCAAAACTGCAATGTTACTCTCTTCACCCTAGTTTTCTTAAGAAGCCTGTCCTTCATGTGTGTTATATCTCTTCCAACTCTGCAAATGGTATTAATTTGATTAATTTTTAAACTCTGTATGTTGTCCTTTAGAACCAAGTTTTCTCAAGGCACCTTACAAGAGATTAAAGCAATGCATTATTCTCTCCATAATACTGATGGACATTATGAGACTTGGAGACCATCACCAAAGGCCACCTAGTGAATTTTTTGGCACAGGCAGCTCAGTTTCTAGCTCAATTTAGAATACAATCCTACACTTGTACCCGTGACCCAGCAGAATGGCCACTTGACTTCAATAGAGCTTTATCCCAGGAAAAATGTACAGGATTATAGCTTTTGCCTCTACAAACTGAAAGGGTTAAAAAAAATGTGGAGGCAATACAAACATATAGTCCTCCAACCTGAAGATCAAAGTGATGATAAATCTGAAGAGAACTGTCTACATCCTTTTTCGACGGCAGACTAAACTAGATTACAGTTGAAGAACAGGGATACACCAAGATGATCAGGGTCAATGACTCCTTGGAACTGAGGAGAGCCATTCTACCCATCACTATTTAGAACAGTGTTTTTCAAACTTGGCAACTTTAAGATGTGTGGACTTCAACTTCCAGAATTCCCCCCCCCCCCCGGGTGGGGGGGGGGGTTTGGGGGTGGTGATAC